TGATGGAGACTAGTATCTCCCGCACTTAAAGGCTTAGTTCAGGATAATCTTCGGTAATCTCGATTATGATGAAAAATGGAAGACAAGATCGAATGTAGTGCGATGAAGGTGAAGAAACTGCGTGAATCGGTGCTTCCAAAGTGAAAAGAAGGCTTCGAAAAACCGTTAAAAAAGGGGCTGGACGAGAAAGAGACCAGAACAATGAGGAAGAGTGGGGCGTTCGGACGAGCTAAACAGTGTGTTTCACTGCGCGCGTGTGGGTCCTGGTGCGAATAACAGACTATATTAAGCAAAAATTCATCCACTTGTAAGCATAAAAACAAAAATTTCTAGTAACAGCAAAAGTGGCTTTTTCAGCCTCAGGTAGTAGGAAATGAAATAAGGGGTTGCGGCATCAAAAAGAAAAACAGAGGAAAAAGAAATGGGAGAAAAACATCGCCTCATACTCAGCGATCAGCTGATTGTGTGTGGGTCCTAGAACGAATAGTTGCAATCTGTATCGTCTCGACACTCGTCTAACGTGACATCGATCCAGGGGCGTTAAAGCCAATTACGGTAGCAACAGGGCTTCCACTATGCCTTAAGCGCCGAAATTAATCCACTGACGACCGCGTGGCCTGCCGGCGGGCCACGCCATATCGTGCTCCTGTAGTATTCATGTTATTTATCAAGTGTTCTTATAATTTTTCATGTTTTCAAGTATCAGCTGAGCTCACAAGCTTCCAGAAAATCTTGAGACATCGTGGTACAAGAATCATTCACTTCCAACTACAGTTATGAGAGAAATTAAAAGGTAATGTAAGGACAATGTAGAAGGCGCGGTCGCCCATGGGTTAATCATTACCAGAAATCGTTTCGAGGATTTTTTACGAGCTTTACATTTGGGAATGCAAATGACGACTGTCTTTTCAAAATATCTCGTTTTTTGAAGTTGCTCTGCGAACGAAAAATTTACCAAGATAATGTACCCCTTCGAAAAAAACACTTTTACAGTTGCAAAATTAGAAGATTTCCTAGGACCACGCTGTACCTAGTTTCATTTAGGCCTGATGTAATGCTCTGAGAAGAAGAATTGAAAGAAAGTGGAAATTTGGATGAATGAAACAAAAAATACAATCACAGTCCACATGTGGTCGTCAATGGGTTAAGGGAGCGAGAGGGTCCCTTCTACCACCCATTGGGAGCGCTGAGTATTGCTGAAGGTAGAACTCAGTAACCTTTTTTATCGTGAACCGTGCTTTTAAGCGGCTCAACTAATTGTTGGCCGTTGCTAGTGAATATGGATATTAAGGAATGGGTTGCTGAAGATTTTAGCCACTACACTCACTTTTTTCCTTGACGTGGCTAGTAGAAGATGGTAGTGAATGCAGTACTGTCCAGTCTTCTTCTTCTCGTCCCTAGCGTTAATCCCGCTCAACAGCGAGGTCCGCTGTTCTCGTGAGCTGTCGCCACTTCTTTCTATTTACCGTTATTATTTCCGGACGGTCCTTCTTAATCACGTCGCCCCATCTCTTCTTTGAGGCTCCACGTGGTCGTTTTTGCTCTTCCCAGTCCATCACCTTTTTTATGGCGTGATAATGTGGCTCCTCAGCATGTGTATATACCTTCTATCCAACTGAACAGAGCCTGTCTGCATAACCTTCTTGATGTCTTCGTTTCTGACCCTGTCTGGTCGAGCCCAGCCGCAGGCCCATCTAAACATCCTCTTCAACGATGTGGAACTGCCTTTCATGATTTTCATTCATGGCCCAACACCCGTTGCGGTAGAGCATAGGAGACGTCTCCACCGTCCGTTGACACCCTGAAGCACCATCGGTTGCAAAGGATAGCACTCCACTACCCCCTTCCACTATGCCGAGTTACCCGGGCCTTTACAGCATGATCCACGTTGCCATCAGCCGTCAAGTTTTTTCTAAAGTGTTGGAAGATCTGGCTCCTTCGATGGTCTCCAGTACCGTTTACCGCTGCCTCCGTGCACTCCTTGGAGCTAAAGAACTTAGCCTTCTTCACGTTTGGTCAGAGCCAATTGTTCGCCACTTGCACAATTTATCTATGCTCTCCGCTATCAGAGCGATGTCATTAGGTTTACAGTGGTCCATTCATGACATCTCTAATTCATCCATTGTAAGCCGAATGGAGAAAGGGCTCAGAACTCACCGTCGATGTAGTCTGTTGACTACCAGCGAGATCGAAAGCGTCGGGACGTTCCCTTCTCGTAGCGGTCGAAAGCCTTCTCTAGATTGAGGAAGGCAATGTAGAAGGGTCGACGCTTCTCTCAATAATTCTCCGTTACGTGCCTAGCTTTGAAGATGCCGTCTGTTGCAGATTTTTGGGCATGATGCTATACTGCTCCCATGAGATCAGGACCCGTTCCCTGAGGCCTGAGTCGACTAGCCGCTCGTTTATTTTCATAGCATTGCAGTCAAGCTGGTCCCAAGATAGCTGAAACACTGCATCGCGTCCCCACTCTACTTAAAAGAGAGGACGATGGTGGTTGATGATGATGCTGATTCCCCTCGCATCTGACATTCTTTCCTCAGCAACTGTGCTCAAGAATCGGGTGAGACATGTGATCTCGTGATCACCAAGTAACTTTCATGCCTTAATCGTTACCTAATCTGGTAACAGCGCTTTCCTAACTTTCATTTTCCCGATTGTTTTATCCACTGCCATCGTGGTCACTGAGATATCCTGCTATGGTGAGGTATTCCAAGGCTCAGATAGAACGTTTGGTGTTGTTCTTCGGTCACTGCCAACGAGGCCATTAAGATCACTCGCTATGGAGATATTTCAAGGCTCAGACAGACCTTTGGTATCTTTTTCTTATAGTACAGCTTGACATCCTCTTCCCACTTCGAACTTCTTTGACGGACGTAATTCAATCCTTACTAGCCCTCACACATTGTCCACAGAGTTAGGGCGGGGGGAGGTCTGTGCCACTGCCAGATGACGTCCCAACCGAATAAAATTGGAACTTTTGGAAATCCAGCCATTTTTGTTACGATGTGAGTTCTTCATCAGCTCGTGACACAGTTATTGCACTGGCATGAATCTAAGTTTCTGAGTGCAAACATGAGCCAACACTCTTAACCAGTCGGTCATCCGTGCTGTTGTCCAATCGTTGATGGCAAAGTTGCGAAAGCCCACATGAGTGTTCTTGTCTACTTATGCACTGATTGCCCGACGAATGTTCTAGAAGTTCATCATCCTGCTATGGTGTTCACATTGTTTACGCGAAATTTTTCACGCCTAGAATCTTTTGTTCTTGCAACCTATTACATTTACCGACAGTCGGTTTAGTTGAATGCATGGCAAACACCAAAACAATTTTTGTTATTGATTTTTTTCAGGGATCCCGAACATGGCATATGAGCTTCGCTCTAATTGATTCTGGCAAAAACAAGAGACACAGAAGACCAATTTACTGTAGCACAAGTCAATTTGAAGTCGTTTGCGATCGAGACGCTGCCACTCACTATATATAGACCTTTAGATCGCACAGCATAGTTTTTTCAACGAGTTTCTCACTATAAACAACTGACACTATTTGCGAAATTTTAGCAAGAGAAATTGGAGCTCTCACAACACTTCTAGTGGTTCATTTAGCAGTTTCTATTATATAAGACCTATACAGGGTGCGCCATAAATATGGTAACATCTTTTTGGACGTCCGTAATGTTGTTTGAGAGTTTCTCTAAATCTGCACCTTCCATTATGTCTATGATATACCCTAGCCCACATATCTACTTTGGTACTCTCAATTCGTTAGATTTCGAAATACGATGGAGCCTCGCAGTCATCCACCAGCCGTTCCGTATTTGCGCGCCCTTGGTGAGTCCCTTTCCGGGATCGCTCCTCGTTTCACATTTCCCACATGACAGTCCCTTGAATCGCGATGCGTGGACAGATCAACGACAAACCTCAAAGCGGTCGTCTTGTCTCACATACCCCTTTTCCGAATACAATTGCTTGGGAAAGAGTACGCTGCGGGACTCTACTCCGAGTAAATGCAAGTGTATCCCGATATAATTAGAAAACCTTATATGTTTCTTAAAGAGAAGCATTGGAGAGAATGCCGTGCGCTGCTTGCGCGCGGCACTCCCTTCGACAGACTTTTTTCTGACTAAAGGGGGTTCAGTGTGGAAGAAATGGAGATCTCAGAGCATACGTATATTTCACACTACGAGTGCTGCAGCCCTGAGAAGAGGGAGATCGCCTCTCGTAGCCGTTTTCCCTCTTTCATGATGGTTTGAGTAAGAAACTCTACATATCGTATACATACTCTACATTTCGCAAATTTTTTCGAGAAAAGAACAAACTTAACCCACCCTCTTTAAGAGGGGTCCTTCTGAAATTATGCTAAGGGTCAAAGATTTCTTAGGGACACGATTTGAAAACTATGGCGCACTTGCTCCCGAATGGGAAAAGATTAAGACTGGTGCTGAGGAAACGTTCGCATTTTATTCCAGCTTCCAATCTCCCTACGAATTCCCCGGATTACAATTGATTGATGGGCCGCTGGATATAGTCCATACTGGAAAGAGAAACCTTCGCGCTTCATAACGTACCACTGTTGCTGCTCCTAAGAAATAACAGGAAAGGTGATGTTTTTGAGAAACTCAGTGTGTCATCGTCGATGAGTAGCCGAAGCGCCTTTGAGCTATAATTAGTACAGAAGACGATTAAATAAGATGACCGTGTGTTCGTTTTGTAGATGCGATGCATCGTAAATAGTTCACATAGATTCAATATGTATCAATGTATATTGCGGTTTCTGCACAGCAATCTTTTGCTACCATATTTATGGCGCACCCTGTATATTCGTTAACATCATTTCGATCTCCCTCGAGATACTTCTCTTTTGGGTTTTACAGGAAGTTGAAGCATTTTCGTCGTAAGACTTCCCACGGATATCTTACAAAAGTAGTGCTTTCGAGAGAATTGCGCTCCCCTTTACTAGTACATATTATACCGCTCTTCTTATGCTAAATGAAGTCGTGTTAATGATTGCACGAATACTCACGTTCCATTTCAGAAGAAACTTCCATCTCCGCTGTTTTGCCACAATTTGGTTCCACATCTGCAAGCAATTCAATTTCATGACAGCAAAATCGTCGAGCACTCCACCAATACGTGATTAAAATTCGGACCGTCACAATGAACTGATTCCTGAATGATTTCCCCACTCCTCAAAGCATCTAAGAAACCCGTCCTGCCTACTGAGAAAACTCACCATCCATGTCTACAAAAGTCTCGCTGGCCGGCAAGGAGTAGGCCGAGTAGGCATGCGAAACCGCCGTTGCAAGCTCTTCACCATCGTCTAGCACTGAAGGTAGACTTTCTAGGATCAGCACCTCTCAACCAATAACTCTGCGAATTTTTTTGAACATACAGGCGGTCAGTAAGTCATTATCGCCTACTCCCTCGTTCTCTGACTCGTCAAGAATTGCTGTTTTCAGGTCGACGTTTTCGTTATCTGGAATGAGTAGAAAGTGATAAATCAGCAACCTTTCTCCTGAGTTCCCAACTCCGGGTGGTAATAGGTGCAACTTACACCACTAGATTCTCCGCTTCAAATTTCAGAGGGCAGGCAGAGGTGTAAGGTACTATGGAGTGCTTTAGGATTATTAGGATTACGCTTGTCTTGAAACTAAGCGAATGAGCTACCACTCCGTAGAGACAGAAACTTTGTGTGTAACAGCAGACTGTCCCTGATGCTATATATATGCTAGAAGTGTCTCTTGGCTTGTCTGTTGTGTTTGTTTGTGTGCGTGTTTTCGTGTGTGCGCGTAGTAAGCTTACACCTTCTAACATCATTACAAACCGCCTTCTTCAGCCTCCAATTTATAGGCTTCGATTGATGTCAACGTGAGGACGTGCGATTCACGAGCGACCTCACCATATTCCTTTCAGTATGCCGCACGCGACACACTATGCGGCAATTGTACGCTTCAATGCAGTGGCCACAGTGTCGTGCAGTTGACAAACGTTCTACAAATAGTCGGACCGTTGTCTCCATTGATTCTACGTTCCAGTAAACTGAGAGGGTTACGAAGTAAGGGAACGGAACCGCAGGACCTCTATAAACTAGGACCACTTCAATGACTTTGCATGTTTGTGGGTAGATCCCGTTAACGACAACATCGATGAAGAATATAAATGGTTCGTAGAACATCTCTACGATAGTGCTAAGAGAGCAGAGACTACAATTTGCCAGAGGACGTCTCTCTTTTGAAATTCTCGAGTTGATACGAGCTACAGCAAGCTGCAGTGATCGCGCGAGCCACAGTTACGCGACCTACCCGAGCTACATTCGAGCTAGTCATGAACTGACCAGAATTTGCAGCTAAGCAAAGAGCGATAGAGGGAGATTTGAAAGGGAGGAGAGCAATAGCTAAGATAGAGGAGCCGGAACTAGGAAGAGCATTTGTAAAGCCTGCTAGAGCTCCACCAAGTACAAGACCAGGATGGCTACCCTTCGTCGTCCAGACGGAACAACTGCTGTATTTCGAACGGCAGTTTACATCATCTTATCTTCTACTAGAATCTCCAGAAGCCCTCTCATTTGCGATGGACATGGGAGTCACCTGGTGGACAGTTTCATAATGAAATAGACCACATCATCTTCAATCGGAGATTTTGCCTACTAACATCGCTGTTCTTCCGAAGTTCTACACGGAATCGGACCATCGCTTCCTCCGTGCTAGATTCTGCTTCTCAGTGCGTGGAGAGAGAGAGCTATGAAGTTTGGGAAATGAAGTCTCAAGACCTTCATCAACTGGAACCACTTCGCGCTTCCCTTGCGTGTGAATGGGAAGATTCCGTTATCCACAACATCGATGACGAATTCAACCGGCTCGTCGAACATCTTCACGATAATATTAGGAAAGCAGAGAGTCTACAAGTATCCAAGAGACGACTCGCTCCGAAGATTCTCGAGCCAATACGCCAGCATGGAATCGCGCGAGCTCAGGCAATCATCAACAAACGTCCGAACTTGCGAAGCTGGGAAGAGAAACTACAAAGGAAGATAAGCGATAAGCGCTAAGTGAGAGAAGAGCAGCAGTTATGGACGATGCCGCCGAGGCCGGAAAAACATTCGCAAAGCCCGTCAGAGCTTCGGCAGTCACAAGACCAAGTTGACTTACCTTCGTCGTCCTGACGGAACAGTGACTGCATCTCGAAGGGCAATGGAGAAGGTCATCTACGACTTCTACTCGGTTCCTTTCGACAGCCACGTCTACTTGCTTACAGACCGTCTTAGGCAATACGAATGTATCGCTCGTTCGGTTCTCCCTTCAGAAATACGACATGCCATCACGTCGATGAAGAAATGTGCAGCGCCCAGTTCCGATAGGATCAAACCAGAACATCTGAAGAGTCTTCCACCAGTTATCTGGATAGGCTCTTCTCGAGGTACCTGTCGGAATGCAAAGTGCCTACGTCATAAAAAACTAAAAGGGCTGTATTAAAAAAGAGATCCAGACGATATTGGCAATTATCGCCAAATCTGCCTTCTTTCTGTGGTCTACAAGCTTTTCACTCATTCTGAACAGGATTGGCAGAATATTAGTTGAAGGACAGCCATGCGAGCAAGCAGGGAGAGGGTTCTGTACAATCGATCAGATTCACACTCTTTCAATACTCACTGAAGTATCACGAGAGTACAAGATGCCTTTATGTCTTACGTTCATCGATTTGAAGAAAGCCTTTGACGCTGCCGAGACAGAAGCGGTAATCGAAGCTCTGGGCAACCAGGGTGTTCCTACTCAATATATAAGGATGCTTTCACCATTCTACAGTGAGGTCATTATCAACGTGAAGAGAGGTGTCCGGCAGGGCGATACCATTTCGCCCAAACTTTTCAGTGCCGCTCTCGAGTATAACATGCGTCACTTCGAATGGGAAGACTCGGGAGTGAAGGTCGACAGCCGTTCGCAGACGACATCGTGCTTATAACGCCGAACATCGAGCAGGCGGAACGAATGCTGCCCGAGTTTGACAATGCTTGTGGAAAGATCGGCTTGAGAATGAAACGATGTTTATAAAAACGGATTGGTACTTGATGCTCCCTTCACGCCAAACGGAACGAATATCACCGAATGCTCTAGCTATGTGACAAAGAACATCCGACTCCGAGCTAACCTTTTCGACACTGCTGTCCTTCCTGCTTTGACGTAAGTCATAGAGACTTGGACTCTACGAAAGCAGGATGAGCATGCTATCAGCGTTACTCATCGCGCTTTGGAAAGGACGATGCTCGGAATTTCCCTACACACGCAAGTGCAGAAGGGAATCCGGAGTTCCGAGCTCAGTCATTGAACGAATATCAGGGATGCCTTTGATTACGCCGAGAAATCGAAAATCAGGTGGGCCGGACACGTTATGCGACATGGTGATGACCGCTAGACCAGGGACGTTACTGGCTTGATCCCTTCGGACATCAATCGAACTCCAGGACGGCCGCCAAGATGGTCAGACTTCTTCGCGAAAGCTTTGGAGGGAAGGAATGTTGCACCTCGGGTCCCTGAAACGAGGACGATTCACTGGACCACTCTGGTTCGTGACAGAGACGAATGGAGACGTTACTGGCGCCCGCTCGAGGAACACGATGATCAACGGGACGACAGTGATACAGGTGATGCTTCACTGTGAATGGAGCCTCTACAATGCCGTTTAAACACAGTCACTTCTAATTGCGGTATAAAATGAAGACAATGTTGAGCCCTCACTTCGCACTATCGTTTCAGTCTCAAAAAGATGATATCGCCCTATCACGACGACTATAAAAGAAGTTATTTTTCCTGCCCGATTAGGCAGGCGATGTGAGGGACTGAACCCTCATTAGACTCACGTTGATCGCCTTCAAATGAGTAATTGGTTCTAATCATTTACGTAAGTTCGCCGTAGCTAGGACAATTCCAACGCTGAATTCAAAAAAAAAATCAAGATAAAATCATGTCGCTTTAGTCCTTGAGGGAACAGCTACTTTCCCTGAAACAGGACTTCTGCGGCCCTTTCCTCATGACTACTCGACTGTGTACTGTATCTGTTGATGAAATTTGAAAAATACTCACAAATATCTTCAGCGTTTCCTACTGTTATCATCTCTTCGCTTGCTGACCACGAGTACGCAGAAGCTGATGCAGCTGACATCTCATCGCTAACTAAAAGGCAACGGAGAAGAATGATCTGGGACAAAGTGGAAGTCATAACTGACGGTGTTGTTCTTCCAGGCAGAACTCCATGCACTGGTAACTGAGAAGTTTCGAAGGAAATAACGTTACCGGACATAATAAGTTTTATAGTGACGACTGTGGCTGATATGAATCAATATCAATTCTCTTCTTGAGATTCTGTGTTAAAATGAATGAGGAGTTTTTGTAGATATGGCCGGATAAAGGTAGTGTAGAAATGCACACCGAACGTCCCTGATGTGTCTTCAATCAGTTTTCCATCACGTTTCGATGCCATTCTTTTTTCAAATGTTGTTTTCTAATTAAATGGGTACTTCCTGATGAACACCAGTTACGAAATTTGTAGCGTGTACAAATACCATATGAACTCACTAAATATGTATAGGCCGCTTTAACATTTTTTGCTGTTAAGACAGCGAGAAGGTCTGGAATTATGCTTATGTCTCGCGCAACTTTCATTGAGAGGTAATGAATTATCGGGGGATTGGTCGTCCGTCGTAGACAGCTCAGCACGGACCAATCATCGTTGCATAACTATGACATCTACAAGTTCCTAAGGAATACGGGATTAATCACTTCGTTGTTAACAAATAACATTCTTGTTTGTGAGTTATGTAAATTTTTTGAACGGTTTTTCAATTCCCTTGGAGTTAGCGACGTGACATTAGAAGATATACCGCGAAATAGCTCCGCTGATTCAACCTTCCAAGGTGTTTGGAATGATCATGCTCATGTCAATACCGTTGGTTTGGCTCCCTTGAAAATACAGCACTCGATGCAAGAAATCCCGAAGTAATGCGAACTCGCGTCCTCTTTTTTTTNTTTTTTTTGTTTGAGGTCACCTCAATGCTAAGCAATTCTGCGTTTATTTATGTCAACCCAGCTCATTAGCTCTACAGGATTGCAAATAAGTAGTATAAATGCCTAATTTTGGAATAGCTGCATTCAAGGCACACCCCCAATTGGAAACGGCATTTCTGCTGTTTGCGAGCGATAAAAGCATTCTTGCATCCTACTTGTGCTCGGCGTTAGTACCTTGACACTCAAGGGTGCATAGAAGAACAGTAGTCACTCAAAGAGTTCGGCTGCCAGCAGTAGATATGAAGAAATCGGCATAAAAGTCACGGTCATTTCAGGAATTTTGATGGACCCACAGCAGACGAGTTCTCCTATCATCCCATGCTCGCTTCAGAAACTCTGTTTGCAATGCTCAGAGAACGATACGACACCGATGTACTATATGAGCCCACGACAGACGGATTACACTTCGGTCGAGGGCTGACCCTCGCCTCGTTGCGATCTTAACGCTGAGTTCAGTGCTAGCGAAGACACTATTCCCAGTCAGCAGACTGAAGGAAGACACGTAAAATGTGCTGGTATTTAGGGGAGACGTCCGAACGAAAAGCCGCTCATCAGTCCTAAAAGAAGGAGGGCTAGAGTGGAGTTTGCGCGCTGTCACCTCAACTGGACGCCGACTGACTGTAGTAGAGTTCCTTAGAGATCGGAGCAAGTTCATTTAGTTTGGAGGCGATGGTATGCGGTGCCTTCTACTCGAACGGAATGGGCCCCATTTTGAGAATTATTCTGAGAAGGAAGAAGAACGATGACAAGGGAGTAGTATAAGAAGATGAAGGTCGTTTTGCGGTGGGCACAGTGCCACATGCTAGTAGGATAAATCCTGCAGCAGGGTTACGATCTGTAGTAGTCGTATATAGTCTATTTCTAAAAACTCTTCAATAGTTGTGAAGGCGGCCTTCAGCGAACAGCGAACTATACTTCTGGAGAGGTCAAGCCAGCCATCGGATCTGAATCCTATAGAACACATAAAGGAGAGAGCTCAAAAGGCGTCTTCCGAGCAAATTTTATAAACAAGAAAAATCTCACGCTCAATAAGCAAAGGAGAGAAAGTCATGTCAGTGTCTACCATTCAAAAAGTAATCGACTCGATGCCTTCCCATTGCGAAGCTGTCATCAGAAGTCGAGGCCTTCCTACCAAATTTCAATGTTTTCGATGTTTTACCTGCTGCTATTCTGAAATAAAGCAGTTTTTATCTGTATTTCCCACTGAATTTGAGTTAAATCTCGCCAAGGTACCATGAGCAATAGCAAATTGCAGTTTAATAGGGTAAGTATTCACGATATGCCTTCGATTGATATAATGACATTTCATATGATCTCACGAAGTAGAAAAAAGGTACAACTGAAAGCGTTTCACCGAGGATTTTTGACCGTTACTGCATGTTGAAATGCGAAGGACTGAAGCAGGACGCGGTACAACTGCGCAGAAATACCATATGCGACTCTCAAGTCAATCGCACACGACTGCGATCTCGGCCAGATACCACCCTCATATGTCGCGAAATTGGCGGACCTTCTCGCCGACTTCGCCAGTGATGCACTAACCTGCACCATTAATTCCCTAAACATGAAAACAGCACCTGAAAATCTGAGCCTTCAAGGGCACGAGATGAGAAAAGACGCACAGGGGGATGCCCGTAAGCATATAATTATTCCCTCTCAGATGGGGTGCACACTCAGGAAGAAGTGGCTTGGTTTTTTTTGCTAGCAATTGCACCTAAACCGATTGGAGTGAGTGCCTTCCATGTCTTGCCGTTTACACTTATTTGATGTTTCATTCCCCAGGTTGTTAAAAAAAGTTCAACTGTGATGGCCGAGAAAGCAACCGGTTCTACTTGCACGAAAAAGATAAGCTTTACTTTTCCAAACCGCCTGTATCAGACGAAATTTCAAGGGAGAAGATTGTGGCACGGTCGGCAATTCCTTGTTTCACGAACGTTTCACATGTTTTGTTCCGAAGGAGTCAACTCTTCCGGTTATCGAGTCGCGAAACGTCAAGCTCTTCTTCCTCTTGGCGTTAGAGTCGACAGCAAACTTCGTAGTTATGCAGAATAATGACCTAATTCGCCTCTGTCGTAACACCCAGGCGTGGTTTATTCGGGGCAGAATCGACCCTTCGTACAGGCCGGCTAGCAGCCCTGACTTGAATTTAACGGAAACCATATATGACATGTTAAGGAAGATTTATCAACGAAACAAGCAATTTAGAGGCATCTGTCAGCTGAAGGGAGCAAACAATGATCATTGGCACCAACTGACCAGGAACTCATTGATAGCCTTTACTTTAGCTCAGACAATCGTATTCTTAAGGTAATTCGAAGGAATAGGGGCTCGATTGAATATGAATCACGCAAATTCCTCTCTTTTTTTATTCGGCTGGATTGGTCAGTGGCTGGATCATTTTAAAAAATAGGCGAGGTGACCGTTTCTGTTGGAGAGAAGAGATAGGTTGCCTGTGATCCCGAGGTGAACCTTACTGTTGATGGGCGAATTACGGTGGTCTGAGTAAGGGACGTTTTCTATACTGAGGCTTTTTCTAAGTGCTCTGGAACGTGAGCTTCGGTGAAATTCACAGTGGCTGTGTCATCACTTAACGCAGTGTATGTCGCATAAGAGAACCAATCAATTTTGAGGTGCTTCAAGTCCTAAATTCGAATCCTGAACCCAAAAGTCAGCTTTTAGCAGTGAACAACTCTGACTTGTCATATGAGAAATTGAGCATCAAGGAAAAAGTACCGATCAATCAAAAATTGGGTAGCCGATGCAACGCTTCACTCGAAGTATGTAGGCAACGCTATTCCCGCTCTCAAAGGCACAGTTCACGATAACTTTTCGGTATCTAATTTAGACGAGTAATGGAAGTGGTGGTTCAGAATAGTGCAGCAGCGGTGAAGAAAACGCGGAATCGGCGTATTTAAAGGTGGGGTAACGGAACTTCTCTCCGGTTGCGGACGTTCGCGGCAAATCTTTATTAGTTGTCTCGCGGCTCCAAACTGCAATCACGTACTCGGCCCGTCTCCCTCCAATCGATAGAACGCAGTATTTTTCATTGACTGCCTTTCTTTTTCGATTGATTTGATTGTTTTTTCTCTTTCTTTTTCGTTTCTACATATGTTTATTGGACTTAGTTGTTTGAAATGACTACTCCTCTATTATAGATGATCAAAACCGCATTGGAGCCGAAGGAAGCGGCCAGCGAATATAATTAAAGGACTCCCTGACTCACAAATTGCGCGCTTCAATCTTCCATCGCGATTCTGCGATAAGCGGAGGGTGCGGCGAGCGCGATGCCGTGTTCGGGAGAGGCGGGGAGGGAGATACCGGACCCTTCAGAGGAGTAGCTGTCTCTGAAAAGGTATGTAAATCAGGTGTTGGACGAGGATGCGACGACAAAAGCTACATTGAAGGGGCATCCCGACGAGCTGAGCTGTGGGCAATTGATAACAATTGGCTAAAGTAAGGCGTTTGAGGGGAAGATATGCGTTCAGGTGGGCAATGGTACAACCTCTACGTCTACACAACAGCGTGAAAACTCGTCCATCTCTGGGCAAGCACGACGACAGAGCTAAATTCGGGGCCTTCCTTACGCCCTACCTATACCGTTTTTCAACCATACAGCGTTCCTGTTGCTGTTTTTGAAAGTAACGAGGTCGAGAGAAAATCTCAGAAACTAATAGATCGATGCATAATTGTTGCGGATTTTTTCGCGGCTCCTTCTCTATCGATACAATATAAATATTGGATCTGAGAACTCATAGAAATAATCCTCTCGCTTTTCTCAAGAGAATGCGTCTAGAAAGTCACATCCACATTCGCTCATGATGCTCTAATTCTTCGAGAAAAGTTGTAAGGTGGCAAAATCACTGAGCGATCTCGACGAAATTTCGGATATGAAGCAATGAGCCAAAGCCATGCGAGGAATGGGATCTGCTCCTATACATCCGCCATATTCGCCCATAGAAACTACTATGGACTATCACGCCAATAGTTCGCTGAAAATTGGCTAGCGAACGGAACGTACGACGAAATGTCCGAACTCCCAGCAAACCAGCAAATGGAAAGCAGGGTTCGACGTAAATGATAGATAAGTTCCGAAGTAATCGTTTGAACATGTCTTTGTAAAATATTTTCAAGGTTTCTACAAATAAAATTTTGCTGAAAAAAATCTGCAATAAATATGCATCAACCTAATACTTCATCGTGAACTTCGTCTCGGCTTTTCTTTTCGATGTCGAGCCCCCTTTTTCCGGGCATGTGCCCTGAAGAAAAATGAGCATTTCAAATTCCATATTTATAGAGAATCCTTCACTGCAAGAACGAGAATTTCCAGTTTAGTAGACCTGTAAGTTACCCATCTCCACATTCAAATCCACTATGACTTTGAAAAGAAGTCATATGCATGACGGATACCATACTTACTTATTTACTATGAAGTCAGTTCGTTGCGTTTAATTAAAACCTTGCCAGAAGCCACTCTTATTCACATGAAGGAAATCTTGAACGTCATACTTAGACATTTTCTAGGACACCCCTACAACACTTGTCGCCAGCAATGCATATCGTTCAGAAAGATCGAAGTAATATCATTGATGCGCATCTAGGTCAAATCGATCCTGAATCTAATGGTAATTGAATTGTTTTTCGCTTTCTTAGAGGATTCAGCATTCAATTATAGATCGTTGGTCACCTTCTACATCAATCACTTGCGCGATCACATAATTCCACGCCTTTGTTTGAAGTACAGTACGTTCAATGCGTTTTTAGATCTCAGCTCCAGGAACATTTAAAAAACATTTTTTCTATTTTCCTACATTAATGTCTAACCTAGCTTCGTCTGAAGCTCAATGTTGATACTTATCCTGAAATCATCTAGTTTGATACCATGTACTGAACCTATTTTTTTTAGATTTCCGTCTTGAAATGAAATCGAGAGAGGAGGCGTTCATACATCGATCAGTCACTGCATCAGGAAGGAAAGGAGAACAGCTGATACCAAGTGGAGAAAAGTGAGCAATCCTTATTAACCATAAAATTCCAAGTGGAAAGGAACAGTGCCACTAGAGTAAGGAAACGAGCTTGGTAACGAGCTTGACCAAGAATGATTCAACTACCTTTCTGATCATTGCATCAGGCATCAGAGGTAGCGCTCGTGAACCATGATATGTTAAATGTGCCATTTAATTTCACTCTCTCTCCGTCAATATTTCTAGCTCTACATGGCCGGCACTGAGTTTTAATCGTGATTAGGAAGAGGGCAAAAAAATCCGGTAGAGCTTGCCATCTTGAGTCTCTTACCAATTCTCACGCTCGACCAGATACTATCACTTTCTATCATCCTCCATCTGCAACCCCGTCACACTAATGTTCTGAAAAATATACGGAAGTCTTATCATTTACAACCATCCGAGAGGAACGTCTTCTGAGGTCTCTTATTAGTTGAAATCACTTTCTATTACTAGTCACCCCAATCCCGTACCACCTATAAATTTTGGATTGTTCGGTGCACGACAACAGAAGTTACGGCAATGATCGTGTAATGTTTTTTGAAGATGTAATAACACAACATTAATGACTTTTCGGGTAGGAGAATTTCCCATACAATTTTTTTTCGGAAAGCCTTCAAAAAACCGACGTGATCTACAAGGAATTCGAGGAATAGCCATAAGTGCTGTTGTATTATTTCACTTCTTTCCGAACCTATTTCCAAATGGACACATTGGGGTTGATCAGTAAGTTTCATCACACTCAAATTCATGAACATCACTATAATGTTTCGTTCGATATCTCTTGAAGATTTGCGCAACGATTTTTTTCTGGCTTCTATATTCTGAGCGTTTTATATCATATTTATACCCAACATATGACTGTAAATCTGAAATTTTCAAAGCCGATTCTTAGCAGGAGCAAAACTTTAAGTTTTGGGACAGTTTTCAATAGGATTAATGATCATTTACTGCTATTTTTCTCAAGTATTACGCAATCTCTCTAACCTGCATCGGCTTTCCTACGTTGAAAATTGACTGAATATGAGGAGAAGCAAATACCAGAAGCTTCGTCAAGCAGACTTGACATTTCTAAAACGGAAATAATTTATTATATACCAAAAAGATACTGTTGAACACTTTAGTCACCATAAAACATAACAAAATTTGAACATTTTCAAGATTCTTCGTTCTATCCGGCTTTCTTATGTCTATGGTGACCGAGCGAGAGAAACGATTCAGAATAAAGGAAGTGGTGAATTTTTATTATCGTCGCTCGAAACGCATTATGCCATTGTATCTGCTGCTGGTAATGAGCTGCATGTTCATCTCGGAACATTGCCTATTCGGTTATCTACACCCGACCAATTGGGATTCAGTTTACTCTGCATCAATCTTTATGACGAACATCAGAGCAACTGACAGTATAAGAGAATATCATGAAATGGTATGTAACTCCACTTCTCACAATCACAACAGAAGAAACAGATCCTCATGCCAATCTTCAGCTATCGAGAGCAGCCGATTTTTTTACCCACACATGGTCTATATCAGCGGAAATGCAATTCTACATAATCTTCCCATTGCTTTATCTTATATATAAATCGATGCACAATGTGTTAGCGACACCATTTCTAGTGATCGTTGGTAAGTTTAGAAAAATTCTAGATTTACACTTACCGTCAGAACGTTCAAACGGGAAAATGAGCTTTCAAAGAGAAAAAAGTAGCATGAGAGCGTTGCATCACTTTCCATTGATCGTGCCAGACCAATTTGCTATGTTTAGTCGCAGCGCTGGAAAAATACTCCTTCAGTTTCATGTACTAGAAAGGAGGGTTGAGAGGAGTAAAAAAAGGTCGTGTTTATGCGCGGCCATACGCAAAAGTTAGGCCAAGCGAGACATGACGATACATTTTTTGTGAGCATTATGCGCAAAAAAAGTGCAGAACAAATATATCTAATTCAAGTGTGCCATTTTTGTATGCTCAACTTGTTGCAGCTTCTGTTTCTCTGCTTTTCCACATTCTTCTACCTGAGCAACGTGCTTTCAATCTGATTCAAGCAAGAATGTGGCAATTTGTGATAGGTACGCTTTTCTTATATGCTCACAATAGTGAGCTGCCTTGGTTAATCCTTCAAAGATGTCTCTGGGGCAGAATGAGATCAGGTTGAACGATATCAGGGAGAACATGGGTTGCTTTGATGATTTCATATGTTTCCTTGACTTCACACAGCTATGCGCGCTTTGTTTGAGATGTGAAACATAGCCTCATCGGTAACATAGGATAGCACTTGCGTTAAGGGCATCAGCGGGCCGTGAGGTTGATACCTACTAATGATATATTAGGCCCCACTAAAATAAAGAGACTAAATGGGAGGTGAGTCTGTCATTGATCGAGCGCCTATTGATCTCATGAGGGCGCCTAATAAAAGGATCGGGATGAAGTCTTTTTGCGTTGATTAATCCCATCAGAGAAATGCGTCCCCCTTTCGACTTCCAATCAGAATTTTAGTGGCCCTCACTCGACTCCCAATCGAATGTGTATGTTGCCGACAAAATTACTTGTGGCGGCAGCCGGTGTACAAGTCAGTGCTTTTACTCTCCCAGACGGTTCTGGTAACAATCAAGCGACCCCAGAAAGATAGAGCCTTACCAATTAGATAGTCTAGATAGCTAACGACGCGGGATTCGAACCCCTGACCATGCGTGCGTGTCATAGTGCGCAACATGCCACTACACCACCTCCGTCCTTGTACCGTCTAATATCAGTTAAATACTGATTTGTGTAGGTAGTTACTCACGCACTCTAACTCTGTAAAATTTTTCCTGTGTAAAGAAGATAGCTATCTATCTTCATTTGAAGCATTTTTATGAATGCTGCTCCTTGACAAAGAATAAGAATGACTAGAAACTCTCAGAGTCTCTGAGAAATAACTGGAAAAGTAGAATAAGTGATAAGTCCCTTTTTTTGGATGCGCCCCCGCATTCGACATTCACTCGCAATCGTAGGGACGGACCGAGTGCATATTTGGTCTATACCTGACTTCCGGTGGCCAGCCGGTGTACAGTCAGTGCTTCAATCTTTTCGAGCGAGCCTGGTACCAATTGTTCCAACCCGAAAACATGAAGACTCCCTCCCACACGGATGCGATATCAATTAAGCGACACTAGAAGGATGGAAGCCTTATCCTGGGCGGATAACGATGCGGGAATCGAACTCATGAATGCGTGTGTGATGATGCTCCACATGCCACTACACCAATTCGACCCCTATAGCGTCAAATAGAACCAAATCAAGAACCGGTGCCTGGCTAGCATCGGTCTTTGATGCTCATTGATGTGAGCGTCGAGGAACGATGTGAAAGAATCTTACTGAGTGGCCAATAAGAAAAGATTCAGTAGAAGATTTTGAATTGCAGGCATACTGGGTCATCAGCTACACAAAACCACGACAGAATCAGGTATGTCTATTTAAAACGAGTATTTATCCTGCCGGACACTGTCGCGGCCGTGATACCGGCTTAAGTCATCGCGCGGAGCCATACTTTCAGATGTTGATGGCATTTGAAGTTTGAGCAATTCTCCAGATATTAATGTAACACTGTGCTTTTTTCATGTTTCTCTATCTAGTAGCATTTGTCGCATTTTGACTTGCGAGACACACTTCCTCCTCTTGATTTGTAAAATATAATTTGCTGAGCAGGAAACGAAGACATGCGTTCCACTAAGAGGTGCGAGAAGCAACTAAGTTCACCGCGAACGGTGACTTTGTGTTTAAGAGGAGCCTGTTATGGTTCTTCCTGACTACTTCTGCTGTGTTCCATAGCTTGCTACATGTGAATTTAGAAACAATCAGCAAATATTCAAGTCCAGCATGCCACCGGATTTGTTTAACGACGAATTTGCTTATCAGTTTATGGATATTCATGGAAATACCAGCGCTATTCCTGAGGTTCTAACTACAATATCTTAAGCCATCTGTAGTGTTGAAAAAATAGTTTCTCCTAAAATCAGTAGAACATCAGGACATCGACTACACTGCTCACGGCCGGACTGATTATTTCCCATCCTAAAAGCTGCTGTTCTTGTGTGCTTACAACGCCAATACTCGCTTACATAGGAGATATTTCATACTCTCTATATTTAGTTCATTGGCCTGTTTATATTGTTATACAACAAAATTACTTCTACAGCAGTGAGTAGTTTTCACCTAATAATCGTGTTTACTTTATTTTCTTTCTACAAGTAATTCGGAAGCTTAACTCAGCTCCATTACAACACTGTCCTCTTCACGCCAAGCGCGAATAATAGGGCAGATACTTAGATATTTTTCTTTTTTTTCGTTTCTTGATGTTGGTGCATAGTCAACGAAGATCGCTAAAGCTATGATAGAGCCACATCTTCTCAATCGCATCATGCGTCCGATTTGGGTGCCAAGCTTTCATAAGAATCGATATTCACGGCCAAGTGCGCATTGACGAGAACACCTTCACCGACGAAGCCTCTGCTGTCGCACGCATATTCCAGGAAACATTTTTCCAGCCTCAAAATAGCGTGCATTAGTCGATGCCTTCTCTGTTGGAAGTACATCGTCATCTTTTAGTCGTTTTCATTTGTGAGGCAGCCTGTAGTAGCCCTGAGCTTTAGAAAACTTATTCCTAGCGGCACCATACAACGCTGCCGTATGGGGGCTCCCTCAGGTCTAGGGGAGTGAGGCTCACTTATATAGCTGCTTTTGGTATAAGGCCTAGCTATAACATTCGTAGTTCTAGCAAGGGTTGACTCCGTGTTGCTAGCCAGGCTATTCCAGAGTGGACGAGAAGATCTGATTATGGAAGCGGTCCCAACTCACTTCCCGGATACTTCCCAGACCCTCCAATACAAGCTTCAGGCTGAGCCGACGTGCAGGATACCAACCACACCCGCAAACTCTCCGCACAAGTATGCATGTATACGCTTGTGGGGTACAGAACGTGTATCGATCCCAGCGCCGAAAAAACAGGGAGTCCATCCCTTGGAACAACCTGCGTCTCTGAGCGAATACAGTAGAATTTTATCAAGCGGTTTTCCCCTATCCGCCACCTGGGATCGTCCCATGTAGTTTCGTCATTAACTGGCTGTAGATCCTACAGTGAGTAAAAACCCCGGTGGAGAGGACACATGAACAGCTTGTAGATAGCCAGTGACATTTCTGTTTTCGAGAGATGGCAGCGTCTGGGTCGCCTATGATCGCCCTACAACGTAGCATTTCAGCGTAGCAACCACCGCGCACGGTAACCCGTGATTGCAATCAAAGATGCACATAACGCTACCAATTACCCATAGTAAATGCGGCTATGAAAAAAAGAGTAGTTCACAATGGCGTTTGAGGAATTCCATTATAAATGTTTGAGATTCTTGAAGTATAAGCTCGCTTCCAATCAAGAATTGTGCTAATGAGTTTTTTCCAGGTAATGAATTTGGATTGGTGCTGGCTGTCTCGCTTTCAATTTTTCTCACCGAAACATTCGAAAAAAGGACATTACGAGCTAGCAAAAGAACGACTATTTACATAATTGTTTGCTTCTACGGTGTCATTGCTGCAGCTTTTCTGAACGCAAATTCAAACGAAACATTGCAAATGGAGAGAACTTGGATAGCAAGACTCTTCACTCCAACCTGTACGAATGATCTTCAAGAAGTCTCCGGAAAGTGTGATGTCCCGTTCAGTACGGCGCAATTGACCAAAGGTAATCTATTGGAAATAGTTTCCAGAGCGACCGTCACATACTTTCGCGATTCTTCTTTGTATTTCTGAAGAATGAAGATAGATTGGGTGGAGTAGATATATTACTTCAAACTTCTTCTGGTTTATTTGCGAATATTCTACAATAGGAAATGATGGTAAACTGGAGCACGTGAAGGTGAAGCATCCTTACTATATATAAAGCGCTCGCGTCTGTCTGTCTGTTTGTTTGTTTGCACGCAAACTCATAACTTCT